AATAAAGCGAGACAGATGGCTGTACAAATAAGAGAGCCTCATACCAGGAAACACTTTCAAATCACAATCACCATCTTGAATGGAACCCAAAATATTAGTAGTCAGTGCCATTTGTGGTATTACATGGATATCTTGAGATAATGCCATAACCACTCAGGCTTTTAAATTCTTGGCCCGTTGTAGCTTTCTAGTGATCTTCAAGAAATTTAGATTCCTGTAATGCAGTGGTGAAATGTAAAATTTGTTACTACTGGTTCTGTGGGCATGGCTTGGTGGTGGTGGTGGTGGGTAATATGACTGAGTGGGCGTGGCCAACTTTTTTTTTTTACTTTTAAAACCATTTTTTCTACAACCTCTTCGGCTGAAGAGGTTGTAAAAAAAAGGCTTTTAAAGGCTCTGACGATCCCAGCTGACTTGCCTGATCGGCAGAGGCTTTCTTTCTTTCTTTTTTTAAGTCCCTGACGATCCCAGCTGATTTGCCTGATCGGCAGAAGCTTTTTTTTAAAAAGCCTCTGACGATCCCAGCTGACTTGCCTGATTGGCAGAAGCTTTTTTTTTAAAGCCTCTGATGATCCCAGCTGACTTGCCTGATCGGCAGAGGCTTTTTTTCCCTTTAAAAACATTTTTTCTATAACCTCTTCGGCTGAAGAGGTTGTAGAAAAAATGCTTTTAAAAGCCTCTGATGATCCCAGCTGAGGCACGCGATCATCAGAGGCTTTTTTTTTTACTTTTAAAAGCATTTTTTTTGGCCAAAGAGGTTGTAGAAAAAATGCTTTTAAAAATAAAAAAAAAAAGCCTCTGATGATTGCGCAGCTCAGCTGGGCAATGTGGGAGGGGAGGGATTTTTGCTACTGGTTCTCTGAACCACCCACCTCCATCACTACCAGATCAGGTGATCTGGTCTGAACCAGAAGTATTTCACCCCTGCTGTAGTGTGCATTTTATTCAATAGAGTGTATTCCAGCTGAAAGTTGACTGAATGACTACGAACAGGGCTTATGATTCAGAAATGGACACAATTGTCCATTGGAGATCTTGGGATCTTCATTGGGATCTTGGAGTCCTAGTGGAAAAATCATTTAATTATGAGCCAACAGTATCCTACAGCTGCCAAAAAAGCCAACGCAGTTCTAGGCTGTATTAATAGAGGGATAGAATCAAGCTCACATGAAGTGTTACTACCACTTGGTAAGACCATACTTGGAATATTGTATCCAGTTTTTGTCTTATAAAAAAAGTTGCGACAATCAAATCTTGAGACTCTGGAAAGAATACAGAGAAGAGAAGATGATTAGGGGACTGGAGGCTAAAACACTTGAAGAATGGTTGCAGGTGGGTATGTCTAGTTGAGAAAAAGGACTAGGGGTGACAGCAGTGTTCCAAATCTAAGAGGCTGCCACAGGGAGGTCAACCTATTCTGAAGGCAGAACAAGAAGGAATGAATGCAAACTAATCAAGTAGAGAACCAAGATCAAACTAAGGAAAAATTTCCTGGCCATTAGAAAGTTTTAATCATTGGAATGACTCACCTCCAGAAGTGGTGGTGTTCCAACACTGGAGGTTTTTAAGTAGAGATTGGACAACCATTTTTCTGAAATGATATAGGGTTTAGTGCTTGAGCAGGGGGTTGGAACAGAAGACTTCCAAGGTCCCTTCAAATTCTGTTATTCTGTCATAGACAATGGATTTGTGCAAAGGGTCTCTGAACCATGGTTGTCATCATCTCTTCAAAGAGGAGCCATGAGTGCATAGTGGAAGAATTGCATAGTGGTTCTATCTGGTATGCAGAACTCCATCCAGAATCAAAGGTAAAAATTCCCTGCATCCAAAGCCACAGTAATTCAGTCTAGTAAGGTTGAATCCGAGCTTCTTTCTCCAATCTTTATCACCACAATATCCTGATATTAAGACAGAACTTCAACTGCTTTGCCTAGGATGCAAGGATTAAAATGTATATCTGGATATTATCAGCATACAGAATGATACCTAATTCAAAACTGGTGGATGACTTCATCCAGTGACATTAATTAAGTAATCAAGACATTAAATCAAATTGGGAGAAAAGGAAATACAGCTTGCTCACTATATTACTGTTGTTTACACACAAGGAGAGGGAAGAGAATGAGAAGAAGGAGGAGGGGAATTTAAGAATAGTGGCATTGTCAGCAGTGGCATGGCATGGGGTGCCTGCTACTGATGAACTTTTCCTCATAGGAAAAGTTTTTCCTATGAGGAAAAGTTTCCTATTTTTTCCCCTTGCATGGCTGTTAGGATAGGATAAAAAGAACAAAAAAGAGGAGAAGAATAAAATGAAGGTAAAAAGAAAGAGGATAAGAATTTAACAAATACCTATCCAATCTAGAATTAAGGAGAAATTTTCTGTCAGTGAGAACAATTAATCAGTGGAAAGGCTTGCCTCCAGAAGTTGTGGATGCTCCACCACTGGTGGTTTTTAAGAAGATATTTAATAGCCAGTTGGTATGGTATAGGGTTTCCTGTTTAAGCAGGGGGTTGGGCTAGAAGACCACCAAGGTCCTTTCCAACTCCATTATTCTGTATTCTGTTCTAAGTTTTTCAGGATCTTCTGTATGCGATTCAACCACAACTTTAATTTTTGTCCTCTTCCCTTCAATCCATTAACCTTTTTTCATATATACATGTCAACAATATGACACTATCCGCATGTAAAAGTATATGCAATATTCACATCCTGAACCAACATATCATACCAATACTAACATCACCAAAAGCATTATTTATATATTTATCAATAATCATATTAACTCATAACCACAGACCAGCGGTCATAGTGACTGCAACAGTTTTCCAAAATGTTCGGAACACCCCTATTTTTATAAATAGACCATTCCAGTTGCGAATGGTTTTTGTTTTCCCACCAATAAGGATATATGCAGTATTGCGCTTGTGTCAGTTATTTGGTGTTTTCCATAGCGGCATTTGAATTTGAGTTTCGGTCATTTTGACCGCAGATCTTTGTTAACATATTTTTTTTATAATGTCGGGGCCATGTTTTCCACCAAAAAGAGTACGATTTGGTGATCCAAACTTCAAAGAAACTGTTCTAAAATGGTATGGAGAAGCAGACAGTGATCTGAGTGAAGTGGAATCTGTTTGTGATGAAAATTTTGTAACAGATGATGAGGAACCCGCTGCCGCTGCCGCCACCAATTCTAACATCAGTGATGATGAAGCTCCCAATGAAATTGATGACCAGGTACAATCTACGTCGTGCAATAATTTATATGGCAAGGACAAATTGCACCTTTTGGAAGCAATAGATCCACCCCCATCTGGATTGGTGCGATTAAATAGCCCGCCCCGTGAACGTCATGTTTATTAACACGCCCATGCCTCGTAACAAGCGGTTCTGGCATTCCGAATGCACCACGGAAGTGGCGTTCGTTATTCATCTGCCTTCCACATTCCAGCAACGAGCTAACACTCATAACACCTATCCCCGCCATATCCGCCATTCCCCCACCCCGCACATGACCGCCTGACACCCAGTGCCACCAACACCATTTGTGAATGCAGGTTTGTCCCGTCTTCCGCTTCATCGAGCATCAGCGTTGTCGAGCATGTAGCTGGGCTCAACATCCAGAACTGCTAGTCACAATATTGTTGTGCAATTACCTAGATTATGGCCATCAGCTAGATATCTCAGAAATTCACTGACTCCCCTAGAGATTTGGAAATTATTGTTTTCTAAAGAAATTATTAGCACTATCATTCAGTGGACCAATGCAAAAATTAGAGAAGAAAGATTGAAGATCAAGGATGGAGAAACAAAAAGTGACCTGCATGATGTGGATTTAATAGAGATCAATACATTTTTTGGTTTACTGCTCTATACATCAATGTTTAGATCCAACCATGAAAACATCAAATGTCTTTTTGTTAGTGAGGTCATTATGACCTCATGTCTGTAATAGTGTAGCCGAAATGGTATGTCTGTGGTTAAGGGTTAAACAATTTAGGGATATCTTTTACTCTTGGTTTTTTCCTGCTCACTGCTGAATCATTGATAAGTATTCCATTTATTCCCTTAAATCCTGTAATATTCTTATCAAATTCAGCAACCAATCTTAAAATCCATAGTTAGATAAAATCATAATTCAAGGTTATTTATATTAGCTTTTCTAACTTCATAGGTATACAATAGATTTTATAAAAAAGGACAATCCCTTACCCAAACACAATAAAACTAAGACTTAGTAATAGTATGTCATAATCAAAAATGTTCATTGTTAGAAATTCCTGTTGGATCATGAAGATGTTTGTTTTGTTCCTAGTTTGGGTTACTGTCTCACACTCTTCCTAGGGCTGCTTTAAAGATTTTACAAACTTCAACAGGTTCAGCAGATAAATGAATGGAGCTGTTATGGGCAGAATCTAATTCCTAAATTGCAACATTTGTCCTGTATGCTAGACTGTTTTCAGAGACAATTCAAAGAGTTGCTTAAAATCTATAAATCCTTAAGTGGCTTGGAATCAGATTACTTGAAGGATTGTCTCCTTTTGTAAAAGTGTTGAAATATTTCAGGCATGCTTTTCTTTCTACCTCATCATTTGATGTTTTTTGGAAGGATTGTGAGCAACAAATGTTAAGCCCTGACTCTCTGCCAAGGGAACTGTTATGTAAATAGGTTTGTTTGGCGGGAAGTTCGAATTAACTGACCCTCAGCTGATTGGCTGACCACCACAGCTGCAAGGTATATAAAGGGAGCTGGCTCCCCTGGTCAGTTGCTGGAGTCTCACCATATAATAAAGAGCTGTTGTCACGAACTACTCTGGCTTGCTGCGTCCTCATTCACCCCACTTAACATTGGCGACGAAGGTGGGATTTTGAGGCCAGTAGCAGAGGAGAGCTGAAGCCACACTCGAGAGAAAGAGCTGAAGCCACGTTCAGAGAAGGGACCGGAGACCGCAACCGAATCCAGCCAGGCGAGCGAGCGGAGCACAGGAGAATCCCCGAAACGATGTCTGCCTACACCCCGCCAGCGCCCTTCGACCCCAAGGAAGAGAAGTGGGGATCCTACATGTCTCGGTTCAAGTGCTTCATGGTGGCAAACGACATGCAAGGGCTACCGGACATTCGGAAGAAAGCCCTGTTCCTGAGTCACTGCGGGCCAAGGGTCTTCGACACAGCCGAAGCATTGTCGGAGCCGAATTCGGTCCACAACATTTCCTGGTCGACGCTACAGACCCTGCTGAAAGACCACTATGCACCAACGCCATCGAAGTACGTCCAACGCTATGATTTCCGGCAACGGCTACAGCAGGAGGGCGAATCGATCAGCGAGTACGTCGCCGCCCTGCGTAAGGCCGCAACCCAATGTGAGTACCGAGACCTGGATGAGATGCTCCTAGAGCAACTAATTTGCGGAGTGAGAGATAGCCGGCTCCAGAGAAGGCTGCTTGCGAGGTCAAACCTGACCCTACTCATCGCGCTAGACGAGGCCAGGGCGCAAGAGTCGTCAGTAAAGGCCGCCGAGAGATTAAAGAGCTCCCACCTAACCAAAACAACGCAGAAGACGGCGCCAGTGCATCGAGAGGCCGTAAGCACCGCGAGCGAGGGGGAGTCAAAAGAGGAGGTCTACCGCACCGAGCAGTCCTGCACAGCCCGGAGGGAGCCCAGAGACGGATGCGCCAGCTGCGGAGGGTCCCACTCACGACAAAACTGTAAGTTCAGGGATGCCGTTTGCCCTTCCTGTGAGAAGAGGGGCCACATCGCTAGAGTCTGCAGATCGAAGACACACCAGAGCTACAGACCACGTGGCCAAACTGCCCAATCCGAGACGGCACCACACCGAAGGCCCAACAGGGATGGCGGAAACCGGAAGGGCGCGAAATTTGAAGATGCTGGGGCCTACACCATACGCATCGCACAGACCTGCACCTCGCCCGGAGAAAAGACCTACACCACGGTCGAGATCGAGGGTCGGGAGTGCCAGATGGAGATAGACACGGGATCACCAATATCCATCATGTCTTGGGAGAATCTGAAGAAATTCATCCCCAGTGTACACAAGCGACAGCTCCAGCCGCAGCAACGCAGACTGATTACCAGGGGAACTGCATACCCGTCGAAGGCAGAGGCGAGTTCCAAGTCCAGTACGGGGAGTTTACCGAGAAACTGCCCCTCACCATCGTCAGCGACAACCTCCCCAGCCTCCTGGGCATGGACTGGTTTAGGGCCCTAGGCATGGGATTCACCGGAGTAAGGAATGTTCGAAGCGCCCTGAAGGAAGACCTGATGCAGGAGTTCCAGGACGTGTTCGACGAAAGGCTTGGCAAGTATGTGGGGACCCCGATTTCATTTAATCTAGACCCCAATATTGCACCCATCCATTTAAAGCCTAGGCGGGTACCATTTGCCCTGAAGCCCAAAATAGACATTGAATTGGACAAATTAATCAAACAAGGGGTGCTCGTTCCAGTCGACCACGCCAAATGGGAGACCCCAATTGTTACACCGGTCAAGCCGGACGGGTCAGTGCGCATATGCGCTGATTATAAATGCACAATTAATAAGGCCCTGCAGCAGAGCACCTATCCAGTGCCCGTCGTTCACCACTTATTGCATTCCCTGGGCCCCGGCAAGATCTTCGCAAAACTCGATCTTGCGCAGGCATACCAGCAGCTGCCGGTAGATGGCGCTACCGCAGAGGCACAGACTATCGTAACCCACAGAGGGGCCTTCAAGTGTACCCGTTTGCAATTCGGGGTAAGCGTGGCCCCCGGACTGTTTCAAAGTACCATGGAGCGGCTACTACAGGGGATCCCCGGGGTGGTGCCCTATTTCGATGACGTACTCATTACAGCCGACAATGAGCACCAGCTAAGAGAAAGACTGAGGGAGGTATTAAGGAAATTCAGGGACGCAGGACTCAGAGTGAAACGCAACAAATGCATGATCGCAGTGCCCTCAGTCGAATTCCTAGGGTACAGGGTAGATGGCACCGGCATTCACCCCACAGAAAGCAAGATCAGGGCAATCCAAGAAGCACCCACCCCCAAAGACAAGGCAGAATTACAGGCCTTCCTGGGACTATTAAACTTCTACGCCATTTTTCTTAAAGACAAGGCAACAGTGGCAGAACCCCTACATAGACTGTTAACCAAAAAAGCCATTTGGAAATGGGTGAAGGCCGAAGACAGGGCATTCGCCGGCATTAAAAAACTGCTATCAGCCGAGAGTTTTCTAATCCAGTACAACGCAACGCTTCCCCTTGTTCTAGCATGTAACGCGTCCCCGTTCGGGGTGGGAGCTGTCCTGAGCCACAGACTCCCGAATGGCCTAGAGGCGCCCATCACATATTACTCCCGAACTCTATCAAGTGCCGAGCGAAATTATAGCCAGCTCGACAAGGAGGCCCTAGCCGCCGTTTCGGGAGTGAAGAAATTCCACGAGTACTTGTTCGGGAGGGACTTTGAGTTAATTACAGACCATCGACCGCTCCTGGGTCTCCTCGCGGGAGATCGACCAAACCCGGCAGCACTTTCGCCCAGGATGACACGCTGGGCCATCTTCCTCGCAGCATACTCCTATCGCCTGGTACATCGACCAGGGGCGGACATGGGCAACGCGGATGCACTCAGCCGATGCCCACTACCCGACAGTTTAGAAGACCCCACACCCGGCATCCCCATCCTGCTGATAGACGTTTTGGACTCTGGGCCCATCACATCAGCTGAGGTTGCGAGAGCCTCAACCAAAGACCACGTGATCCGGACAGTCGCAAGTTGGGTCATGAGGGGGTGGCCGGAAAAGATTGGGAGCGGGGAATTTAAACCATTCGTGGGAAAACGGGATGAGTTGACAATGCAAGGGGGTTGTTTACTATGGGGCGATCGGGTTGTTATTCCCTCACGTTTAAGGGAAAAAGTTTTAACGTTGTTGCATGAGGGGCACCCTGGAATTGTAAGAATGAAGGGGCTAGCCAGGAGCTACGTCTGGTGGCCCAGCATGGATGCAGATATTACCGAGTGGGTGGGGAAATGCCAGCCCTGCCAAGAGTCCACATCAGACCCGCCAACGGCACCCGTGAGAGAATGGGAAAGGCCCCAGGGACCCTGGTCCAGAATACATATTGACTTTGCAGGCCCATTCCATGGACAGACCTTCATGGTCGTCGTAGACGCATTCTCCAAATGGTTGGAGATCAAGCTAATGAAGGCCACTACCACCGACACAACCATCAGAGAGCTAAGACAGTTATTCGCCACACATGGGTTACCAGACATCCTAGTGTCAGATAACGGGCCACAGTTCACTGCAACACAGTTCGAAGGCTACTTAGCGGGACTTGGGATCAGACATGTCCTTTCTGCCCCGTTTCACCCGGCTAGTAACGGACAGGCTGAGAGATTTGTTAGGTCAGCAAAGGAGGCTTCACGCTTAAGCCCTGGGGACTGGCAAGAAAGGGTAGACAAGTTCTTAATAGCTCAGCACTCCACACCCTGTACGGCCACGGGCCGAAGTCCGGCCGAACTATTAATGGGGCGGAAACTCCGGGGAATATTAGATAGACTCAACCCCAATTACTCCCCAGAGGGCTTCAAGGGGGGGGGGAGAGGAAGCTTAGAGAATTCACCATAGGAACACCGGTTCATGCTAGAAACTATGGACAGGGCCACTCTGGGAAGCCGGGACAATCACAGAAATCACGGGGCCCAAATCATACAGGGTAGATATGGGAGACGGGAGAGTTTGGCGCAGACACATTGACCAGCTTAGAAAACGGATAACCACAGACACCGACGACAAGTTAGACGACCCCATCTCTGACCATGACTACCAGCCAGAAGCACAAAACACGAGCCCGAGTAAAGCGGAGGACTTAGCTTAGGATTCTGGTATCCAGCGCCGCCCCATCGAGGTAGTCCCAACAGCCGAAGAAGTTGCCGCCCACGAGGAGGTCCCGGAGGCCTCATTGGCGGAGCAGGGAGAAACAGAAAGTCCCTCCGACCTGCTCGACGCCGCCCCTCCGACTGAACTGCGCAGGTCAATTAGGACTCGCACACGCCCTAGTCACCTGAGAGACTATGTATGCAAATAACACCCCAAGTGACTTCTGGGAGGGGAGGAGTGTTATGTAAATAGGTTTGTTTGGCGGGAAGTTTGAATTAACTGACCCTCAGCTGATTGGCTGACCACCACAGCTGCAAGGTATATAAAGGGAGCTGGCTCCCCTGGTCAGTTGCTGGAGTCTCACCATATAATAAAGAGCTGTTGTCACGAACTACTCTGGCTTGCTGCGTCCTCATTCACCCCACTTAACAGGAACATAACAGGAAGATAAAAGAAACATGGTATAATATATAATTGTAGCAATTAACAGTTACGAATCGATATACATTTATCTAATGTAAGTATTATTCAAGTACATATATATTAATTTCTAATACATTTATATATCATTGGCTCTTTAACCTACTATGTATTATATATATTAGTTCCATATTACATTATACTTATCCATACAAAATCCACCTCTATTATCCAGCTTTTTTTAAAATATATTTTTATTATAATTTTTCTTTTTCAAAATTCCAATACATAATCGAACAGACAGTGTCATTTCCCCCCGCCCACTAAACATTATCTATTTTTATTTCAGTTATCAATACACCTATACCATTTATCCCACACCGCATAGTATTCTGAATCCTCTTTTTCTTTTAATTCTAAAGTTAATTTGTTCATTTCGGCACATTGGAATTTTTTTTGAATAATTAATCCCTCTGGTGGTACATTATTTCCTTTCCAATATTGCGCATAAGCAATTCTCACTGCTGTAAGTATATGTAAAATCAAGTATCTTATTTTTTTGTCATATTTGGTTTTTAGTATGCCCAGGAGAAATGTTTCCGGAATTAATTCAATTTTACTGTTAATTAATTCTTGTAACCAATGTTGTATTTTGCTCCAATACCTCTTTGCTTCGGGACACAGCCACCACATATGAAAGAAGGTACCTTGGTGGTGATTACACTTCCGACACTTAGGGCTTAAATTCGGATATATTTTTGCCAATCTTGCAGGTGCTAGATGCCACCGATATAACATTTTATATTGATTTTCCTTGTATGCTGCCAATTTTGTTAATTTATAATTTTTATTCCAAATAAATTCCCATTCATCTAATTTATATTGTGCCCTATATTTTTGGCCCATGCGATCATCGGTTCTTTTACCACCTCCTCCGCCCTATCAAATTCTAGTAAGTAATTATATAGTCTAGATATTAATTTTCTTTCTGGGCCCACCAACAATTTATCTAATTGATTTAATTCTACCTCAATACCAAATTCTTCCATATCTTTTCTTATATCTGGACTGTATTTGTAAATATGGCCACCAATCGATAGATATTCCCTGCTCTTTTAAAACCTGATTACTTTTGAGTTTTCCATGATTATCTAAAATTTCTTTATATCTAATCATTTTACTAATCTCTACTGTATTGGGGTGGATCATGGCTTCCATAGTTGATAACCAGCTCGGAATTTTCATTTACTGCTTCCTCCTTACTTCTTCCCATACTCGTATTAGTGCTTCTCTAATCTTATGTCTAAAAAAATATGTTTGTGTCTTATTCTTTTTGTCCCACATAAAAGCATGCCACCCTCTTTGTAGGTCATGTCCTTCCAAGGTTAAGATTATTTTATCCCTTAAATTGACCCAGTCTCTTATCCACACTAGAGTGGCAGCTTTATGGTATATTTCCCATGCCGGAAGGCTGAAACCACCCCTACATCTACTATCCTGTAGCGATCGTAATTTTATCCTTGATTTTCCCCCTGCCCAGATAAATTTAGTGGTAATTTTATTAAATTCTGTAAAAAAAAAAAATCTAATGGAATAGGTATCGTTTGAAATAAATATAGTAATTTAGGCAGGATGTTCATCTTAATAGACGCTATCCTGCCTAAAAGTGATATTTTTGTTTCATAGACATTCCAATTTTTTTTATTTTCCAAAAGAATGATATTATCAGTGTGTTGTCTCTCAGAATATAAGGGTATATTCTGTATAAGAATCTATTTTTAACTGTACAGAAATAATTGTAAATAATATAGTCCAATGTGTATCTTCCTGGTTTTTGGTCCATATAAGTAGCACCCATTTCAGCTATACTGATAAGTTCTATATGTTACCGTATTAGGAAATGATACTGAAGGGACTGATCAAGTAAGATCAAACCCCATAGGCAAAGGATTATTCAGAGTACTGTAAAAGTGACCTGAGCAAACAAATTTACAATGGAAAGACTGTTCTTTGAAAAATTTTGCTTTGATTTCCTGGAAATTTGGCACATTTCAGAACCTCAGAACTGTTGAGGTTTCTTAGTTTTAGCTCTTTTTTAAGGAAAGTGACATGCAATGGCAATTTAATAACCAAGATTATAAAGGAATGGAATCAAAATCTTGAACTGAATTTGTCATCTCATAATGGTATGTCTTTCCTACAATCTTCAGAACTGAAAAAGAACGAGAATGAGATGTGTAATGTGTAATTTTTTAAAAAAATTCAGAATGGAGATTTGAGATGAAATCATATGTATGTAATAATCAATAGATGCATAAGCATGAAAGCAAGAATTATTCAGAAACTGGAGATTTTTAAAAATATTGTTTTCTTTTTCTTCCCCCTTACGGCAGTTTTCTCTTATATAGTCCAAAAATTGCAGGTGGAGTCACGAAGAAAACATTTTTAATGAGAAAATATCTTAGGAGCACAGTTTTTCTTCTCTGTGTTTTTAAAACATATGGTACTGTTTCCAAAATATTTTGAGATTAGTCTTTTCTATACCTCTTCTTGAAAGTGAGCACTGGCCATTTGTTTAATAGCATAACATCCCCAGAGCTATTGTGAATATTTGGTTTCCTGTTAATACATTTTCTGAAACTGACATTAGAGAATAGAATAGAAAGTGATGAATCTGTGCTAGAAGCTGGAAGTTTCTACATGCATTTGTACTTCAGGAAAGTTGTGTGTATCTGTCTGGTTCATAAGTAATTCTGTTCTTCAAAAGAAAGCTAATTATATAAAGAGATGTATACTCTTTCCCAAGGATAGGAACTGATAATAAAATAAACCTGTTTTCTTGTACTAAAGGAAAACTGAACCCATCTACCCAATTAATTAAAATAAGCATGAACGTACCCATATGCTACACCTTTATTTCATATTTTGTATGAAAATAATGTAAAGGAATTTATATACTTTTTAGCGTAATGGAAAGTAAGGCAAATTAACATAAAAGTGTCTTCTAAAGAGAATTTGAAAGATACAATTAAGTAATGCCTTTCAAATCTTGGTTATTAAGACTTGCAAACCTGGAGTAGAATTTATGTGTGGTAATGTTTCCTTACGAGTTTTTGTTTTTGAAAGTCAAATAAGGAATTTATTTGGGTGGTATATAATATTGTTATCCATTATCAATTTTTCAAGAAGACATGGCGATCAGGGCATGGCAAGATTATGGTTAAAATACAAAGACTATTTATACTGTGGGTTTTAGAGGAGAAAAATTATAGTGTTATACTTGACAGAGAACAGATGCATATAGAATTGAGAAATATTTGTGGTATAATAAAATATTTACTTGCTGAAAATATTAGGAGTCAGAAAGAAAGAGAAAAAAAACGTACTATAATAGTAACAAAAGGAAAGAATTATCTCTGGAAATGCTGTATCTGATTGCCCATTTATCCATTATCTCTGGCGAGTTAGTAAGAGGGACTCTTCAATTCACTGATAAATGAAGTTGTGGAAATGTAAAACAAATAACAACCAGTAGTTACATTGAATAATGTTGAATTTTACTTTATTTAGATTCTTCTTTTCACAATTTCTTTTTAGGATTTTTTAAAGGTTAAATTACTGTTTAGGCTTCTGCAATTATGTATTAGATTTGTTTAGATAGTCCCTTGGAACAAAAATATTGTGAGTTTTTTTACTTTTTAGTTTACTAAGAAATAATTTTCTCATCTGTTGCCTCTATTCTGGAATATATTTATTGTGTTTTTCTGAACAACTTGAAATTAAAATCTTTGACCAGGTTATAGCTTGTTGATACCCATGTAACTGAATGAAAATAAGGCTCCAAATATAATAGCTGAAATAAAAGCCAGGATTTAAATGAAAGTTACAAAGAATCACTTTAAGAAAAGTCATGATGAATAGCAGATAGGAAATCTGGTCTTTCAGATATTACAAGACTCTTCATTGTTCTGATTTCAACAGACTCACAGAACCATCCCTCGGGGGTGGGGGGTGGAGAAGCATGATTCAATAATGAATCGGAAAAACATTTCAAGAGTTTAAAAATAAACTTTTTTATGCTGTTTAAAAATCAAAGTATTAAATGTTTGGAATGGAAACTTTTATCTGGTAACAACATGGAGCTACTTGATAGAGATCAGAAATGCAGTATTACTTTTCAGCTTTCCCAGGAAGAGTAGCCATATACTTGATTAAAAGACTGTCAGACAAAATTATGCTGAGGTTTAGACGTTTTAGTCACACAAAATACTTGCAAATTTCTCACAGGATGATAGTTACAATTTCAAATTCCCGCATACATTATTAAT